CGAGTTCAAATCTCACCAGGCTCAAGGTTGACTCAGCCTTCCATCCTTCCGAGGTAGGTAAAATGAGGACCCGGATTGTGGAGGCAATAAGCTGACTTTGTATAAAAAAAAATAAAAAAAGAACACCGCTTGGGGGAGTGGGGGGCGAAATCCCTGCTAAGCAGGTATATACAAAAGTATGACAGCTATTGCTTAACGGATTGTAAGCCGCCCTGAGTCTCTGGAGAAGGGCGGCATATAAATCGAACCAATAAATAAATAAATATTTTTCCAAGGGTTAAAAGAAACGGCGCGGCGAAGCCTCAGAAGAGGTAAGAAGCCAACTTCCAGCCATCCCGACAGGTCAGCTGGCGTCTGCACTTCGCCCTTCAGGTGAAATCAATGAGGACTGGCTCCTTGCCTAATCCCAAGGGGTATCAATTGCTTGCCAGCCACCGTGCCGGGTTACTGCGGCTCTGGTTACCCTTCGATGATTAAGCTGACCTGTTTTCACAATGGCAATTCAGCTCAAGAGCAGGGAAGCGTGTCCTTGCTCACACAGGTGAAGCAAACTGAGCAGTGCAACCAATACTCTGGGTTTGTAGGACTACAATTCCCATTGTCCCCAACTAGCAGGACCATTTTGGGGTAAGCAAGGTTAATCAAAGCACAGGGGGAGAGAAAAAAAAGAAAGAAAGAAAAGAAAATGCTCTTTAAATCAAAGGAATTAAAAGCTTTCACTCCGTCTATATTACATCCAATTTATTATATCTTCCCGCTATTTTGTTTGTGTCGTGCCTTTATTGTTTGTATAAATAACTCAAGGGGAACATGCCTAAAACTCCTTCCTCCTCCTATTTTCCCTACAACAACAGCCTTGTGAGGTGGGCTGGGCTGAGAGAGAAAGAGAGAGAGAGAGAGACTGGCCCAAAGTCACCCAGCTGGCATTCACACCTAAGGCAGGACTAGAATTTCCGGTCTCCTAGTTATGAGTCCAGTTTTCTGCATCATATTTTTTTTGTTCGGGGTCCACAAACTGCGCTTTCCGTTTGCAGAAAAGGAAGGGAGGGAAGGAGGGAGGAGAAAAGGGGAAGGGAAGGGAAAGGAGAAAGGATGGATGGATGGATGGAAGGGAGGGAGGGAGGGTTTAGAAAATGGGGGAAGGGAAGAAGGGAGGGAGGGAGGAGAAAAAGGGAAGGGAAGTGAGGAAGGATAGATGGAGGGAGGGTTTAGAGAAAGGGTGAAGGGAAGGAGGGAGGGAGGAGAAAGGGGGAAGGGAAGAAGGGAGGGAGGGAGGAGAACGGGGGAAGGGAAGAAGGGAGGGAGGGAGGAGAAAAGGGGAAGGGAAGGGAAAGGAGGAAGGATGGATGGAAGGGAGGATTTAGAGAAAGGGGGAAGGGAAGGGAAGAAGGGAGGGAGGGAGGAGAAAAGGGGCAAGGAAGGGAAGGGAAGGGAAGAAGGGAGGGAGGAGGGGAAAAGGAAGGCAAGGAACAGAGAAGGAAGGGAGGGAGGGTTTAGAGAAAGGGGGAAGGGAAGAAGGGAGGGAGAGAGGAGAAAAAGGGAAGGGAAGTGAGGAAGGATAGATGGGAGGGAGGGAGGGTTTAGAGAAAGGGTGAAGGGAAGAAGGGAAGGAGGAAGGGAGGAGAAAAGGGGAAGGGAAGTGAGGAAGGATAGATGGGAGGGAGGGTTTAGAGAAAGGGGGGAAGAGAAGGGAAGTGAGGAAGTGAGGGATGGTGGGAGGGTTTAAGAGAAAGGGGGAAGGGAAGGGAAGGAAGGAAGGAGAAGAAAGAAAAGGAAGGAAAGAAGGAAAAGAGAAAGGGAAGGGAAAGGAAAGGAAAGGAGGGAAAGAAAGAAGAAAGAAAGAAAGAAAGAAAGAAAGAAAGAAAGAAAGAAAGAAAGAAAGAAAGAAAGAAAGGAAGAAAGAGAAGGGGGGAAGGAGGATGGAAGTTGCATTTAACTTTGGCCCACATAAGGATTCTGTTTGGGGATTTGTCAAAATGTCACATCTGCCCAGAGGTGCCTAACCATTTGCTTTTTTAACCAAACCCCAATAATTTTTCCCCCTTTGTTTTTTGAAAAGGATGAACCTTCTGGCATTCCACCTGGCAAGCAGGAAGCGTTTTTTTTTTTCCGGGCTTGTCTAAAATAATAATCCTACCGCTAGAAATTTTAATCCCTCCGCGGGGAATATTAATCCATGCCAGGCAAAGAGGCTCGGGCGACGGAAGCAGCCTTTTCCGCCAGAGACGATGCCACGAAGTGGAAGACAAGACAGAAAAAAGGGAGAGAACGGAGGTTAGGCACTGAGGACATCCTGGGCGTTTGCTAAGCAGAATTTCACTTCCCTGCTTCATCCCCTTCAAGGGGAATTTTCCCTCCCTGTAGAAAACCTGCAAGGGATCCAGTCGATCTGGAGGGGAGCGGGAGGGAAGCAGCCCCCTCCCCAACTGGCTCCCTTTTTGGTAGTCCTCTGAAACGAGGTTTCTGATGGGGAACACACTGGATCTTCTAAAATGGAAGGGAGGGAGGGAGGAAGAAAGGAAAAAAGAAAGAAAGGAGAAAAAAGAAAGAAAGAGAAAGGAAGGAAGGAAGGAAGGACAAGACAAGGAAGGAAGGAAGGAAAAAAGAGAGAAAGAAAGAGGGAGGAAGGAAAGGGAGGGAGAAAAAAGGAAATAAAAGAGGAAGGAAGGAAGGAAGGAAGGAAGGAAGGAAGGAAAGAAAGAAAGAGACGGGAGAAGGAAGGAAGGAAGGAAGGAAGGAAGGAAGGAAGGAAGGAAGGAAGGGGAGAAATAAGGAAGGAAAGGAAGAAAAAGACATGGAAGAAGGAAAGAAGGAAGGAAGGAGAAAGAAATAGGAGAAAGAAGGAAGGAAGGGAAAAGAAAGACATGGGAGAAGGAAGGAAGGAAGAAAGAAGGGACAAGGAAGGAAGGAAAAAAGAGAGAAAGAAAGAAAGAGAGAGGAAGGAAAGGGAGGGAGGGAGAAAAAAGGAAATAAAAGAGGAAGGAAGGAAGGAGAAATAAATGAGAGAAAGAAGGAAGGAAGGAAAGAAAAAGACGGGAGAAGGATGGAAAGAAGGAAGGAAGAAATGGAATAAATAAGGAAGGAAGGGAAGAAAAAGACATGGAAGAAAGAAAGAAGGAAGGAAGGAGAAAGAAATGGGAGAAAGAAGGAAGGAGGGGAAGAGAAAGACATGGGAGAAGGATGAAAGGAAGGAAAGGAAAGGAAAGGAAAGGAAAGAGGAATGGAGGAGGGAGGGAGGGAGAAGGGAGGAAGGGGAAGAAGGAGAAAGAGAAAAATGAAAGCAAGAGGTGGGGGAAGGAGAAAGAAGGGGGAAGAAAGGAAAGGGAAATAGAAAGGCGGGTCCTCCAGAATCTCCTTCTCCCCCATATGCCTCTCTGCCCTCACAGATTTAATTCAGAAAACCGATCCTGCAGGAGGTTTGAGCGCAGCCCCCACGAAGGACAGTTTGAACCAGTAAAAAAGGACAAAAGGGGCGAACCTCCCCCACTTCCCCCCCAAAAAAGAAACCTTTTATGGGCCCCGATCCCCTTCTCTCCACTCTTCCTTTTCTATAAGCCACTCATGCGTTGTTTTCCTGCTCCCTGAACTAGCCCATCCATCAGCTTTTCAAGATCGGGACAGGCCAACATTCTAGTCCTCAAGGACACGAAGAATCCTCAAAAGCCGGAGAGGGGCAAGGAGAAAGAAACACAACCTCCACGATTGAGGAAAAGGGCAGTTTAGCACTTCAGAGGACACAATGCACCACATACACACATTACTCACACGCCGAGATCTAAATTGTACCTTGGTGTAAATTGCTTGCACGACTTTAAATATAACTCACTGGTATTGGATACTATGCACATAACTGTCCTCAAAACTTGTTGCCAAGAATTTTACACCTTCACACCTGGCCCGGGCAACAAATCACACTCAGCTGTTGTGTCCCTTCAACAACACACACCAAGAGGTCATCTTGGCCATGTCATCCGAGGTAAGGGACCCCAGAAAGCAAAGCCATGTTCTGGCATGACGTTCTGCCTCATTGTTTGAAATCTGCCCTGGGGTTTCTGAGCACGTACAGAGTGCTTTCCCTCTTTAGTGGCCAGCACAGAGTTTTTAGAGGAAAATAATGAACCGCAACCCACAAAAACAGACTCACAAGGTGGACGACGAAACAACCAATCCTTCGCCATTCTTTTCCTCCTAAAATGCAAGTTTTTGACTTACAACAGTTCTTCACTTAGTGAAAGCTCGAAGTTACAATGGCACTGAAAAAAAAGGGACTTATCATCATTTTTCACACTTAACAACCGTCGCATGCATCATCCCCGTGGTCGCGTGTTCAAAATTCGGATGGCATTGACGACAACTGACTCATATTTTGTGACGGTCGCAGTGGTCCCAGGGTCACGTGATTCCCCTTTTGCGACCCTTCTGACGAGCGACGTCAACGGGGAAGCCGGATTCACTTAACAACCGAGGGACTGACTTAACCCACTGCAATAATTCACTTAACGACAGCAAGAAAGGGGGTAAGATGGGGCCAAAACTCAGTTAAGAAACATCTCGCTTTAACAACAGAAATTTTGGGCTCGAGTGTGGTCATAAGTCGAGGACTACCCATATAGCGGGGAACTGGCCCGATTCTTGCAGATACACTCTACAGACGTGTACACACAGAGAGAGAGAGGCACACGCACAAAATTTGATTTTCCTTTCAAAAAAATCTGGGGGTTCAGGAGCCCATTCACAGCTTCTCCGAGGGTTCTTTGACTCTCCTCTCCTCCTTAAGGGACCCCCAGAACCCCAACTCTCCCTGCCCCACAGTTGCACACCTGAATCCGCCAAGGTTAATCCCCTCTCCCCTAACCTGCCTGGCTGTGGGTGATGGGGCTTGGGGGTCCAGCAGCCCTGGAAGGTGCACTTTTCCTCCAGGTGACCCTCCTGTCCTACCTTGGGGTGTGTGTGTGTGATGGGAGGTGGGGGGGGAAAAAGGGGGTTCGAATTAAACTTACCTGCTCGGTCCTTCTGCCATCCGTGCAGCTTCTCCAGCTCCCCCAATGCCGGCTTCTCCCAATCCGATGCGATCCAAGACGGCTTCTCCACCGCAGGCCTGGCTCGCGCCAAGCAGATCCGCTGCAGGGATCAAGGCGAGCTTCCGAAATCCACCCGAGTGGGTGGGTGGGTGGTGGGAGATCCGCAGGAGGCTGGAGAGGTGTGTGTGGGGGGGTCTCCTTTCTTTCTCCTCCCTTCCCCGCAGATTTTTTTTTTCTTTTCTTTTTTTCAAGACCCTTTGGATCCAGATCGGGACCCCCGTTTCCCTCCCCACATTCCGAGAACCCCCCTCCCCAAAAAAACACGCTTCCGCAGCCTTCCTTCCGAGGGATCCCTTGCCCTTAAAAGAGGCAGAAAGCCCCCCCACTCCACTCCCGGAGGGGGGAGGGAGGGAGGGAGAGAGAGGGGGGGGAAGCCCCCCACCGACCCCCAGCAACCAACCTCAAGGATGCTAAGCCACGCACCTCGCCTGTTCCACTGCGGCGTCGGGTTGGAAGGGGCTCCGATGGGGAGGGGGCGATCTTGGATTCTGGAAACCCACCCACCCACCCACTCCACACTTAAGAGCTGGGCTAGCCGGCGCTGGCCCCCTTCCCACCACCCCGGATTGCCTGTGGGGAGGGGGGGGGAAGCAAATGGAAGGGATGCTGAAGGAAGAAGAAGAAGAAAGCGAGGATCGGATGAGATCGGATGGTCCACGAGCAGCGCAGCCACGAGGCGGCAAGAGATGGCTGGGGAGGGGGCTGGCTGGGGGAGGGGCAGGGAGAAGAGGAGGAGGAGGAGGAGAAGGAGGAGGAAGGCCGGCCCCCATCAGACGCTCCCTTCCCCCCACCGACCCACCCCAGTTCCTGAGACACGTGTCTGGCTCCTGCCCCCACCGCCAGCTGACACGCGCGCCCCCAAAGGCGTGGGAATGCGCCTGTAAGAGTAACAAAGAGTTGGAAGGGACTTTGGAGGTCATCTAGTCCGACCTATACTTAGGGACTCGAACTGATATCGACAATACCGGATCTGCACACCTTCCGCCTCGCTCTAAAGACCTTTTTATTTCACCAGGCGGGCCTGGCCTAACTTTCTCCCTCTTTTTAAACAATTTTTTAATATTTTTAATATTCAAAGTTTAAATTTGTTTTAAATTGATTGGGGTTTTTAATCTGTCTGGGCCAAACTATTCAATTCGATTTTATTTCTGCTTTTTAAATTTTGTACGTATGTATTTTATTGTTGGCTGTTCACCTAGGGCGGTATATAAATCAGAACAAAATAAAATAAAATAAAAACAATGCTCAGTGGCTTAGCCGCTGAGCCACCGGCTGGGCTCCCACGAGGTCCGCTAGCCGAGCCTTGTCTAACCCCTGCGCCGGGAAATCGGGCGGCTGGAAGGGCGCAATCCTTGCACTAAGCGAGGGGAAAATCAGCTGGGCTTGGGGGAAGGGGGTCCCATGGCTGCTGGGAGAAACCCTGCCCTAGAGGGATTGGGGGAGGGGCTTTCTTCCCCCACTCATTCAACCCCCCCCCCCCGAACATCCTTGTCCCCATCTGGGAAAAATCTTTCGAGAGAAAATTGTCTGGCGCTTTTCACCAGCTGCCCCACATCTTTAAGAGCCCCATGGCTTCGCTTGCCAACGCTCGGCTGGAACCGAAGACACTCTTCCTTTGTGCTTTTAATCCTCTGCCCCCCTCCTCTTTATTTTATCCTTCCCCTCCTGCGACCCTCGCCCCCCCCCCGTTTTTCCAGAATTGTGAGACGCAGGGAGACAAAATAAGCCATTGTTTGATTTTTTTTAAAAAAAAGGGTCTTGGGAGAAATTAGCCACGGACATGGTGGAAGACCGGCTTGCGAGAGGCTGTGTGTTGGACTTAAAGCCACCTGTGGGTGTGTGCAAGGGAGCGGAAAGAGAGGAGGGGGTGCGGTAGTTGTTGTTGTGGGGAAGGGGGAGGCCCTCCAGCTCAAAACCCAGTTAAACCAAGTGTTTTTTTTTTCTTCAACTGGAGTTTCTGTATTTTTTTCTTTGAAGAGGTTTCGCTTCTCATCCAAGAAGCTTCTTCAGCTCTGGATGAATGGTGGGGAATGGAAGGATTGATACCTCCTTGCAGACAGCTGGTCCTTTGCATCCTTTTAGAGGGTCGTCGAGGCCACTTGGGAGGTTTTATCTGTGTCAGGGTCACCTGAGTAGTTTCAGCAGTTCCAAAGAAGGCTGCGCACCAGTGATGGATTTCAAATTTTTTTTTACTACCGGTTCTGTGGGTGTGGCTTGGTGGGCGTGGCACGGCTTGGTGGGCATGGCAGGGGGAGGTTCCTGTAAAATCCCCATTCCCTCCCAATCAGCTGGGACTTGGGAGGCAGAGAATAGATGGGGGTTAGCCAGTCAAAATTTTGATAGCCAGTCAACATTTTTACTACCGGTTCTCCAAACTACTCAAACTTTCCGCTACTGGTTCTCCAGAACTGGTCAGAACCTGCTGATACCTACCTCTGCTCCACACCGATTTGCATCACTCATCTTAGCCAGTCTACCATACTGGCTGGCTTTCTGGCGAATGAGAATTAGTCAGGTTGGGGGGAGAAAGGACAATTTCCTGCATGCATCCCCCCTCCTCAATCCATTGGAGGCTACTACAGAGGAGGGAGGGGGCTGCACATATCAGCTAGCCTGATATTTAATCCCAACAGATGGCCTTTCTTTCCGCGGCATTCCCCAGGACAGCTGCAAAAAGGGGAGTAAGAAATGGGATGCCCACCCGGTCCCCAAAAGAAATGTCTAACGGCCAGTTCAAGCTGATCCGGAAAAATATCAACAGGGGTTGAGGCCGGTGAGAGCAAGAGGCAGTCCGGGGAAACAGGCCTAGGGGTTAAAGTGGGAATATGAGAGAAAATTCCCGAAGCTAACAGTAAATGATTTTTTCCCCTATTTTTTGCAAAGAAAATGCCTTGGATGTGTCTGTGAAATCGTGCTGGAGTTGCACTTAACTCAAGGCTACTATTTCTCAACCTGATCAATTGTTAAGGTAACTGGATTTTGACTCCAGGAATTCCCCAGCCAGCATGATTTAAGAGATGGACTTCAAATCCCAGAATTCCCCAGCCAGCATGCTTTTAAGAGATGGACTTCAAATCCCAGAATTCCCCAGCCAGCATGCTTTAAGATGAGTGGACTTCAATTCCCAGAATTCCCCAGCCAGCATGCTTTAAGAGATGGACTTAAATCCCAGAATTCCCCAGCCAGCATGCTTTAAGAGATGGACTTCAACTCCCAGAATTCCCCAGCCAGCATGCTTTAAGATGAGTGAACTTAAATTCCCAGAATCCCCCAGCCAGCCTGTTGGCTGGAAAATTCTGGGAGTTGAAGTCCACTCATCTTCTCAACCTCCCCAGGTTGAGAAAAAGAATATTTTTCCTTTGAACGCCCGTTCAGAAAAGGGAAGAACAAGATTTCCAGAATCTCTGACTTTTATTTACAAAACAATCCGTTTCTGAGCTCCAACCACAAAGATGCAAAAGAAACAAAAAAAAAACAGAGTGGAGATTTTAGGGTAGGTGGCGGGGAGACGGAGGTGGTGTTTTAAAAAAAAACAAGAAGGGAAAAAAAGAGAGGAGGGTGTTTCAGAACTTGAATTCCTTGTATTTCTTGGCTCCGGCTCGGCTGTCCTGAGGCTGTGCTTTCCGCTTCTTTTGCTAAAAGGAAAAAATAAAATAACAGAAAGTTGGTGTGTTTATGACAGCTTAATAGCTAGGGATTCCCGATTTCCTTCCGTTATCCATGGATTGGGAAATTCTCAATTCCCTTCAATTAGTCCACCAATCTTCCTTTCACCAGCAAAGCATCTCCGGTCCAGGCTTCGGTGTGAGATTTTCCCAGCATCCTTTGGGGGCCTCTGAGCTGCTATTGGCTCCTCTTAGCCGAAGAGACTGACTTGACTCACCTCTTAAACTGCTCCTATGTGGGTTTCCATTCACCAGCAAAACAGCTACACTCAACTTTGGGGTTTGATTTTTTTAGAACAGGCTGATGGTCTCACCTGGGGGAGCCCAGAGGATGGCCAGACAATAGAAGGGGTCCTCTAGTTAATATACGGAGAGGGGGAGCCACACTGGACAATGGGAAGCAAGCGAGCCTTGATAGTACAGTGCTCTAAAGCACCCTGTTATTAAGACCAGCTGCCTGCAATTACTGCAGGTTCGAATCTCTCCAAGGTTCAAGGTTGACTCAGCCTTCCATCCTTTCTAAGGTAGGTAAATTGAGGACCCAGTTTGTGGGGGCAATAAGCTGACTTTGTATAAATATACAAAAAGGATGAAGGCTATTGCTTAGCGCGTTGTAAGCCGCCCTGAGTCTCCGGAGAAGGGCGGCATATAAATCATTTAAAAAAAAAAAAAAGTTTTCTTGATAGTGCTTTCTCCTGGCTCTGGGTATCCTTCTGAGTGAGGTACCCCCTTCTTTTGATTTTCTAGGGAAAGTCTGGATGGATGGATGCATGGGATAGATAGAGGGAGACAGAGAGAGATGGATAAATAGAATGGATGAATGGGATGGATAGATGGATAGATGAATGGGATGGATGGATGGATGGATGGATGGATGATAGACGTATAGATAAATAGATGATAGAGGTAGATGATCAATAGAGAGATGAGATAGGTGATAGAGAAAATATAGAAATAGATATACAGATGATAGATACGATAGAATAGATAGAGATTAGATATAGATGACAGATAGATAGATAGATAGATAGATAGATAGATAGATAGATAGATAGATAGATAGATAGATGATAGATAGACAGACAATGGGTGGATAGATAAATAGATACAGTAATTGATAGAGATAGGATGGATGGATGGATGGACGTATAGATAAATAGATGATAGAGGTAGATGATCGATAGATGAGATAGGTGATAGAGAAAATAGGTAGGTAGGTAGGTAGGTAGGTAGGTAGATAGATAGATAGATAGACAGAGAGACAGGCAGACAGACAGACGATGGATGTGGATGGATGGATGGACAGACACACTTGAATGGATGGATAGATATAGAAAAAGATATGACAGACAGATACCCCCTCCATGGATGGATGGATGGATGGATGGATGGATGGATGGAGCTATAGATGGACAAACAGACAGACAGACAGATATCCTTCCTTTGATACAGTAGATGGATGGATGGATGGATGGATAGAAAGATGTAGACAGAAACATAGATGGATGGATGGATAGATGGAGATAGATAGATAGTGATATAGGAGGGAGGGAGAGACAGACAGACAGGTGATAGATGGTTGCAATTTTTACAGTACTGTAAGGTAGGGTAGCCACCTGGAAAGATGGCATTATTTTTTTTCCTTTGGAAAAACAAAAGTGGTCCATGAGCTGAATTATCCACCAGCAGTTGCTGGGGAACAGTGCGCTGCAACGGGAAGATGCCAACAGTCGAGGTCAGCACTTCTGTGCTTATTTTTTGACGCGCAGAGAAACGTGTAACATGATCACTGCCTATTGGAGGGTCCCGGGATCCGCAGTGGGTTCCAGGCAGTGGGGGAGCCAGCCTCAAGATTTGAGAAGGCCTTTCCCTCCTAGTGGCAAAGGGCCCAACTGGCTTCCAGCCATGCCAAGCTGTTAAGATTGATGGGCGGGATGTAGGTTTCGTTTCTATGCCGTTACTATCGGTTCCTGCTTTTAAAACGTGTCAAGCTGGGAAGATGGAAATGAACCAAACACGAAATGAAAGGTTCACGTAAGACTTACCTTACATCCAGTTCAGAATTAGATCTTTTCAAAAGAGCAGAAACTGAACTGGAATCCGATAGAAGTGCATTTAAAAGTTTCCAAATGCAGTTTTGTAAAAATATATATATATATAATTAAACGAGGCTGGCCCCTGGGGAAGCAACAGAGCGGAGGAAATATTTTGGACCTCTCTCGCTCAATATTTTCCCATCTCCAAGGATCAGAGCAGGGCGGGAAGTCTGCGGATCAAGCTTTTCATAGCTATTAGAACACAGAATCCTAGGGGCCGGAAGGGACCTTGGAGGTCTTCTAATCCATGGGTCAGCAACCTGTGGCTCTGGAGCCGCATGTGGCTCTTTCATCCCTCTGCTGCGGCTCCCTGTCGCCGGTTGGCTCCACAATTGATAGGGCTTTCAGTTACGATAGGTAGTGGAAAAAGAACACTGTGCTAGGAGGAGACTCTATGGTGGGGGAACCAGACTTCTGGTTGAAAGGGGGCTTCCGGTTAGGACCTTTGTAGCTCTTTGAATGTTTAAGGTTGCTGACCCCTGCTGTCGGGGGTAATTCTTGGACATGCTCAAGAATTAACAGATGTTGGGTTGTTTCTCGAGGGTCTCAGAGCCCGGTTCGAGGATGATACCAGAACCCAAATAGCTGAAGGAAAACTAGTCGCTCTAAAACGAAGAGGGCGCCCTGCCAGAGTACGTCAAGGAATTCCGGAAATTAGCAGGGAGGGTCCGTGCTTGGCCCGAACGCACGCTCGTCCATCAATTCCACCTTGGTTTGGACCGCGAGTTACGACAGGCGTGTGTATAGGGGTTTGCCACCCCGCTTATCGGAATGGTGTTAAGGCAGCGATAGATCTTGATGTGGGGTTACGTGGATTCCGTGTAAGACCAAGCGTGGGACCACCCCAAACGCGGTGGCTGCCCGAGAGACCGTCACCCCCAAAAGCCATGGAACGAGGGGAGCCCGACCCTCAATCCCCGGATACTACCCGCCAGCCGTTACGGTGTTTCCGTTGTAACCAAATAGGACATAGAGCCCTGGATCGCCCACTACCACCGGCGCAAGCAACCGTACCTGCCACAACTCCAAGCGGGAAGGGCCGAACCCGAACAAGTCCCGAAAGAACCAGAGGGGTTCTTCAAGCGGGACAGGCCGACAACGGAATGCCGAATTACCTCTAGTCCAACCCCCTGCTTAGGCAGGAAACCCCACACCATTTCAGACAAATGACTTCTCCAGTCTCTTCTTAAAAGCCTCCAGTGATGGAGCACTCACAACTTCTGGTGGCAAGCAGTTCCACTGGTTAATTGTTCTCACTGTCAAGAAATTTCTCCTTAGTTCTAAGTTGCTTCTCTCCTTGGTTAGTTTCCATCCATTGCTTCTTGTCCTGCCCTCAGGTGCTTTGGAGAATAGTTTGACTCCCTCTTCTTTGGGGCAGCCCCCGAGATATTGGAAGACTGCTCCCCTACTCCTTCTTTTCATCCAACTAGACATATCCACTTCCTGCAACTGTTTTTCGTATGTTTTAGCCTCCAGTCCCCTAATCTTTTTTGTTGTTCTTCCCTGCACTCTTTCTAGAGTCTCCACATCTTTTTTTTTACATTGTGGCAACCAAATGTAAACCAAATGTAAAATGGCAACCATTGTGGATGCCGGATTCCAAGTGTGGCCTTATCAAGGCATTATGACTGTAACTTTGTTGCTTGTATCCTTACGATTTATATTGATATTGTTTCCTGATTCATTATTTGTACCCCATGACTATCATTAAGTGTTGTACCTTATGATTCTTGATGAACGTATCTTCTCTTTTATGTACACTGAGAGCATATGCACCAAAGACAAATACCTTGTGTGTCCAATCACACTTGGCCAATAAAAAAATTGTATTGTATTCTATTGTATTGTATTGTATTGGTGTTCTGTTCTGTTCTGTTCTGTTCTGTTCTGTTCTGTTCTGTTCTGTTCTGTTCTGTTCTGTTCTGTTCTGTTCTGTTCTATTCTATTCTATTCTATTCTATTCTATTCTATTCTATTCTATTCTATGTATCCTTTCTTTTATGTACATTGAGAGCATATGCACCAAGACAAATTCCTTGTGTGTCCAATCACACTTGGCCAATAAAAAAATTGTATTGTATTGTATTGTACTGTATTGTATTGGTGTTCTGTTCTGTTCTGTTCTGTTCTGTTCTGTTCTGTTCTATTCTATTCTATTCTATTCTATTAATGACTATTATAAAGTGGTATTAACATTTCACGTGCTCTTACCACTTTATAATGTCTTGGTAAGGCCACACTTGGAATACTGCGTTCAGTTTTGGCATTCAGTTTCCACCCATTCCTTTTTGCCCCAGTAACAAAATTGTTGGGTCTTTTCCTCTTTGTTTGATTTTTTTAGGGTGTCAATCCCATTTTGAGGGACTGAAGGCGCCGCCTCTCACCTTCTGTTTGGCCGCGTGCTCTGCCACCATGTCGCTAAAATCCTCCTTCTCCACTTGAGCCTGCTGTTCTCGCACGTGCTCCTCGTACTTCTGGGTCATGGCCATGGGATCGAGCTCCAACTCCTCAGGCGCCAGGGCAACTTCCACCCCTTGGATTTCGGGGACCGGCCCTTTGCGGCTCATGACCTGCGGAAAGAGAGAAGACATCAAGATTAGGGATGAAGAAGGAAGCCTGGTCCACTAAGAGCTCTTTAAGCTATGATGGACTGCTGGGGATTTAAGGACAGATCTGTAGCTGGCGGGCACTGCCAACAACACTCTGGCGCCTTCGTTCTGGAGGATGCAAATTTTTGTGAGCAATGTCAAAAATCATAAGTGATTGGTTGACTTAACAAGCAAAGTTATAGGGGAATGAAATGGAAGTGTTTGTGATTCACAGCACTGCAGTGTTTCTCAAAAGTGACAGCTTGAAGTTGGTTGGATTTCAACTGCCAGAATTCTGGGAGCTGAAGTCCACCCATCTTAAAGCATGCTGGATGGGGGATTCTGGGAGTTGAAGTCCACCCCTTTTAAAGCATGCTGGATGGGGGATTCTGGGAGCTGAAGTCCACCCATCTTAAAGCATGCTGGATGGGGGATTCTGGGAGTTGAAGCCCAGTCACCTTCAAGCTGCCAAGGTGGAGAGACATGGCTTTAAGGAACCCAATCTTCCGCCTTTTAACGTGAGAATGTAAGGTATCTTGGAAGCCAGATTCACTTAACAACTTGGTTACTAATTTAGCAACTGCAGTGATTCACTTAACAAATGAGGCAAGAAAAGTTGTAAAATGAGGAAAACTCAACTTCACAGATTTCTCACTCGGCAACATAAATTCTGAGCTCTGTTGCGGTCGTAAGTCGAGGACTATCTTAAGCAAAAGAGCCCATCTTAAGCAAAAGAGAGACCGACCCAATCCTTACCGTGGCCATGTCATAGATATGTGTGGATCCCATCATGGCACCCCCAACCGTTGGCATCCGCTTCTCTGGAAGAACTGTGAATAGTTGGGGCGTCTCGCTTCTGTTGGGCATAGAATAGGCCGGTAGGAGAAAGCAGGAAAAAATGAATGAATGAATGACTGAATGAATGAATAAACCAACCAACCAACCAACCATGAATGAATGAACCAACCAACCATGAATGAATGAATGAATGAATGAACCAACCAATCATGAATGAATCAACCAACCAACCAATCATGAATGAATAAATGAATAAAACAACCAACCAACCAACCAACAATGAATGAATGAATGAACCAACCAATCATGAATGAATCAACCAACCAACCAATCATGAATGAATAAATGAATAAACCAACCAACCAACCAACCAACCATGAATGAATGAATGAAAAACAACCAATCATGAATGAATCAACCAACCAACCAATCATGAATGAATAAATCAACTAACCAACCAACCAACCATGAATGAATGAATAAATAAACCAACCAACTATGACTGAATGAACCAACCAACCAACCATGAATAAATGAATAAATAAACCAACCAACCAACAATGAACGAATAAATGAATGAATGACTGAATAAATAAACAAACCAACCATGACTGAATGAACCAACCAACCAACCATATTGTGTTAGGGGGAAAAATGGCCCTTCAGTTTTCCTGTACCCTCCCCACTCTTCCCTCTAGAGTTGTGTCTTTCAGGATTGTCTTGTTTTTTATCTCTCTGAAAGGCCAACAAAATGTGCGAAGGACTCAATCAGGTAAACCTCTAGATTCTCAAAACCCGACTTACTCCCCACACCAGAGACGGTCTTGCTAGTCCCCGAGAAGGGGGGGGGGTTGGGAGGGGATGTGAAGAGAGTGGAAAACAGAATCGAAAAAGCCCATTTACCCGTCCATGGCTTCCTCAATCTTCTTCTTACGCAGCTCAATCAGCTCTGGTGTCTCCATGCCGGCGGGCACCGAAGAGAAGCCCCCTGGGGTGATTAGGCCGCTAGAGGAGGAAGAGGAGAAACTGAGTCAGAACCAGGACAAACGTAACTGGAGCCAACCCTGGTTAAGGAAGTCACTTATTTGGGGTGGGGAAAATCATACGATGCACCGAATCCTAAAACAGCCATCTGGTCTAGTCAATTTGCCCAACAGGCTGATGAGAAACAGGACAAGGAATAATGGGTGAAAGATCATTAACGGGAGGTCCGGTTACAGGAACTAAGGAGGGATTGCCTGACAGTGAGAACAATTCACCAGTGGAAGGGCTTCCCTCCTGAAGCTGTGGGTGCCCCATCGCTGGAGGCTTTCAAAAGTAGACTGGACAACCATTTGACTGGGATTGTTGTGGCCCGCCAGCGGCCAGTGGAGCTGGCAGCAGAGTCGGACAGTGAGGAGGTTGGGGAGGAACGTGGGCCAGTCCTGTGGGGGCTAGGGAAAGCTCAGATGAGGACTCTGCATTGGAGGCAGAGAGGGAGGTAGACAGCAGTGAGGCAGAGGAACAGCTGGAGCCCGTTCCCACTGTGTGCATGCGCAGAGCTGCCAGAAGACAAGAACAACTCAGGAAGCAGGGTCGACTCAGGAGTAAAGACACACCTTGGAGGTGATTGGCCCCTCCCATGGGAAACAAAAGAGGAGCGAACGGGAAGGGGGCTTTTGCAGGAAACAATTCATTTGTTCCGTGACTCTGAGAGACTCTGTGCCAAGTTTGACCTTGTACTGTGTTTGGAA